TCTATCTATCTATCTCTATCTCTCTCTCTCATCATCATCCCCCAAAACAATAGTAACCGCACACTGCTGATACACGCAGTCTACCCCTTCCATGTCAAAAAAGCGCACGACAGATCTCACACATTCTACGCGCACGCTGGCTATGATCATTGACAGCCGTGGTGACGACTTCTAACGCCACAGCGTCCATCATTCCTGCCAACGTTGCAGGATGGATGTCTTCCTGTCCCGGGGTGTAATCGATAGACGAGTGGTCATCATCGCTGGTTGCACACGGAGTGCCAAACCCCACATTGTCGCTGCTGTCCGTGTCTGGTGATCACGGGCGGATGGTGACAGGGGTGTCATGTCGTTCATTGACAGCTGCTGGTGCCATCTCGTCCGCCGCGTACATCAACTCCAACATCATCTCCAACAGCCGCAGGGCTTCTGCGGTTGTGCTGCCCATTCTGGCAGCTTGCTCACTATAACGCCTCGTACGTGGGCTATAGCGATGCAGCAACCTTGGCCGTGACGAAATGGGGTCGGTATACCATTCCCTCTCCTCATTTTCTCCACGTCCGCCATGACGACCTGCTTGTGTGCGACGAGTTCTCGCAGCACCGGTTGTTCTGCCACCTCGGTTGTTCCTTCTAGCCCGAGACGAAGGGGCGGACGATGAGCAGGCCCTGTCCGACATTGATGTACTATTCACCTTTTATGCGGGAATACATGTCCTACTCACACGACCTTTGAAACTGGCTTCTTCGGAGATGAGGCTAGAAGGGATGATGACAGTGCATTGTCCGTGAGAGGGAGATCGTTGCAAGCGATGAACAATTTCAACGACGCTGGCAAATGTGGCGACAAAGGGCATGCCGCAGAGCTCTACCCGCCACGGAATCAGCACCCGCACCGTTGCCACGATATCCGCGACCTCCCGCCGGCCTATCGTTCGCTACTTATTGGCGTCGACGGCCCAACCTTCGCAACACAGCGTTCACATCCTCACCCTATCGATTAGAATGTTATGCAATATACATGCCGCTAGAAACTGTCGAGAGAGAGTCTTGATATTCGGCCGGTGCGGTCTATGAAAATTCTGGAAACGGCCTTTTAACACACCGTTGCCACGCTCACTGTCAACACGCACCAGCTTAAGGCGAGCGTTGAACCTTCTGCACTCCGGCCGGTTATGCGTCGGTCCGTACGGGGTGATGAGCCAAGGGAGCAAAGGATAACCGGCATCCCCGAGGAGGTACCCCCCCGGGACGTTGTTTACAAGTTCGAGGTCCGTGTGTCTGACGTCCTGAACGAAAAGGTTCCCCGAACGGCCACGTCGGTACAACGATGAATTCTTGAGAACTAAGGAATCATGGACTGTACCGGGAAGACCAACGTGCATGTCGAGTATACGAAGATTGTGGTCGAAAACAAGCTGTGCAACAACTGAGAAGCGCTTGGTTCTGCCTGAGCAATACGTGTCACCGCACAAATTCGCGGGCTTATCAACATATATATGAGGGCAATCAATGCACCCCCAGCAGTCAGGGAAGCCATTGGCCCGATAGAATGCCATGGAACTCTCACGATCGGCGGTTGTGCCGAATGATATAGCATCAGGGAAGCACCTGATAATGGCTTCCGTGACATCTTCCACAGACCTCAGACCGCTCGTCGTTCCCATCTGATAAACCCACGAACTGTGCCGGTAGCTGTCTCCTGTGGCCCGCCGATGAATGGCGAATGCTAACAAGTGCGCAGGAGCAAGAGGTTGCCTGAACCGTGTAACTTGCCGGGTCAGACACGGCTGCACAATGACCAAAATGTGCTCAAAAGTGGAACGCTTCATTCGCACAAGAGTTCTGTAGAAGACGTCCTCTGCATCATCTTCTACGCTCATATTGCCCCACTGGCCGGCTCCTTGCCTCATCACCCACCATCGCGGGGGTTCACGGGGCAAAACGTCAGCCATGTGTAGACACAGCTGAGCGTTGGTGGTGGCAAGAGAGGACTGGATGTGTCCACCCCCTCCAACCCCGGGCCCCAACGGCGACATCACAATGGACAAGAGCAAGCGTTGAACGGTCGAAGATGCCGATTCATTCATGGTCTCCAGAAAACGACGGCCATCCTCCATTATCTGGAGGGCCAAGAAAACGACAACTAGGAGACCGCCGTCCATCTCCCGTGGGTTTGCTGTCTATGTATATCTCTACATCCCTCTCTATATCCACGAACGTGTCGGATGTAAGCGCACACACATAGAAACACATGCGTACATGGGAACCGCGGGGTTTGACATTCGTAGACAGGTATATGCAAGGCACACGGCTGTATGGGCCACTACGGATTCCCCGCTGAGCCGATTGGCCTAACGAGGCTAGAAGTCTCTGTGTCGGGGCGGGAAGTCGGCACCCCTTCTTCATAGCTGCAACTAAGGACCTCGCTGCACTACTCTCGAAATGTGCAAAACGAGAGTGAATCTTCTGCTAGAATATGGAAAGATACACCCCCAGTATTTTTGTCTTTTGTGCATGTCGAGAGTAGTGCAGCGAGGCCCTAATACGGGCTTTGCACCTCTGAGAAATCGGGGTCTCTTCGAATTTGAACATTATTCCGACCACATGCATGTCCACTTTTCTTGTTTTTCCTTATGCATGACGGGCGTCCGAGCCGATGAAGAAGCACCACTGCTTCGACCGCAGACAGCATTAACACACAGTCTGACACGACTGACATCCCGTCATAATGGCAAAGGCCGAAACTTTTAGCTGTTTGCCTTTCTTTCCTGCGAGGGCGCCCTCCAAAAGGTAAGTGGAAGGTGCGTGAAAATCAGAACGAAAAAAAACGTCACGAGTTTCACTCACATCGGGGACCCCTCTAGGACCTTCAAAACAAAAAAAGAAGGAAGACCGACCAGTAGGGCGCGACGGAAATACATATATACCCATCCCCTTAAATACAAAAAAAATAGGAGCAGCAATACAAAGGGATCTTGCTCAAAAGAAGCCAACCAGTACGGCAATCACAAGATGGGCGGATAGACATCCACAGTCCATGACCGAGGAGAGATTATCGTGTCTATGGAAACAACTCAAGAATGTCCCGGAACAAAGGATAGCTAGTCTTCTCTGGCTTCAATCGTTAGACGTGATCCCATCTGCAGAATGGTTATTAGCCAAACCAATGGAAGTCCCCCGAGCCTGCAGTAGGTGTCAATGGGCCTGGGAGACCACTTCACACATCTGGATTCAATGTCTCTTCTCCTTGAGAATATGGCAATGGTGGCGAACACATTGGACAGCCTTTTCCTCGAACGCTTTCCAATGGACGGACTCTTCGATTGAAACCGGAATCATCCCGACTGTAACAAACTTTTCGTCTGGATGGGGATATGTCGGGCAAGTTGCCCGGGGTATCATTATGTACTATGCTATTTGGCAAGCTAGAAATAATGCAGTGTTCGAAGGAGACTTACCTGGCAAAGGTCAGATGCAGAGTCAGATCGGAAAGCACCTAAGAATTACAATCTTGGTCGACAGAAAGAGGAAGTCTGGTTCTCCAATACTTGGGCTCTGGACAGTAAGCTAGCTACTCTGGATGAAGAACAAAGAGCGGTCATAGGACCATGGTTGAGCAGTAAGGATTAACTGAGATGAACAAGGATTGTACATGTGCAATTTGGAGCAAAGAGTGGTCATAAGACCAAGGTAATACAAGTTAGGGCATGGGTGATGAACAGAGAGAGTGCAGTTGCAGTTGGCTATTCTAGTAATTGTGCAGACAAATGTCCGAGCCTGTAGTTGGGACCAGGGACTCCCTGAATAGTTGACAGCGATTAGGCTGAGAGGTCCTTAGGACAGGCAATGTCTTTTTTGTTGGGACGTATTTATGGGGTTATGGGACGCTGGACCCGGTTTCCAGCAGATTTTGCTCACTCTAAAGCGAAGCTGGATAAAGCTTCCGGTGATTTCCATGTCTTCTTTCCGGGTAGACTGTGGGGATCCCGGCCCCGTCATATTCAATTGTTTCAAAGGGACGCTGGGCCCGTTTTCCAGCTGTGTCGCTCCCCACATAGATCGGAGCCTGTGTTTAATTAAAAATAAAAAATAAATAAAATAAATAAATAAATACGAAAAAAAACACACCGCTGATTGCCGTCCCCATCCGCGGTGCTTCGGAGTCACACAACCGATCCACTTCTCCACATACATCGGTAGTGGGATCTCCCTCCTGGGCTGGTTAGTCCGATGATAATACCTCAAGGCCATCGCCCTATGAAAGGAAAAAAAAAAAAAAAAAAAAAAAAAAAAAAAAAAAAAAAAAAATATTTTGATAAAAAGAAAGAAAGAAGGAGGGGGGGGGGGGGGGGGGGGGGGGAAGGGACGAGGAAAAAGGAGACAAGGAACACAGGACAACGAAGGGGGTTCAGAGGAGAGGAGTGGAGTGCATGCATCCGTCCGAAGCGGCCCCAGGCCCTGTGAGTCCGCAGACCCAGTTCCCGTCGCTGCCTCCGACCCTTTCATCATCATCTGTATGCGTGTGTGTGCGTGTGTGTGTGTGTGTGTGTGATTGCAGTCCCTGTGTATGTGTGTGTGGTCATCGCCTTATGTGGTCTTCATATCAGTGCAAGGCAAAAAAAATATATATATATAATATGATCTTCAGGCTGGATCTGCTTTCAGTCCGGCGGCATATAAAGCACCTTACCGCAAACCTGTGCCTCACTTTGTTTCATGACAAAGCCATGCCCTAGACATTGTCGTCTGTGGTTGTTCATGACTTTTGTTCATCGCACACCTTTATGTGGGATAGGCTAACACGAACTGTGAGCCTGCATGGCTCAAATGTTAAAGTTCTGTTTCTAGCGTCTGCCACGTGCTGGCAGCAGCCACGTTGCTTGGCTGTCACATGCTCCCGTCACGTGCATGGATGTCACGTTGCTGGGGCGGTTGTAGGAGTACAGGTAGTCCCTGATGCAGCATCCATGACTCCACGTCGCATGGTTGTCACGTGTCACCATCACACCCTCCTCATCATAATCATCATTCTTACCCCGGCCAGTCATCTCCATCGTCAGCATCATCATCATCAGCATCATCACCAGCATCATCATCAGCATCATAATCGGCGTCATCGTCACCCCTGTCCGTCATCATGCTCATCATCACCATTGTCATCATCATCATCATCATCATCATCATCATCTACACTCTGCACGTTTACTTCGATATTCACTCCCGGCCACCGTGGAGGACGAAGCAGGGGAGGAGGAGGAGGAGGAGGAGGAGGAGGAGCTGGAGAGGGACTCGATGCCCCATTGCCCCTCACTTCGATGTTTGCTCCGTATCCTTCGTCGTCCACATCAGCTCGTCAGGTGCTCATATGTGAAGTGGAGCATGACAGCGAGAAAAGAAAAAAACGGGGGTAGGGCGTAGAATATGACTGTGACAGATAAAGAAGAAAAAAGAGGTTAAAATCAGCGTCATTTCGGACAGCAGCCCAACTGATCATTTGTCATCCAAGCTTCTGCCACGTCAGCTTCGATCAGACGTCGCAGTAGGCTGTAAACATGAGTTGTTGCTACTTCGGCTCAGGTGATACGGGGATCCGTCAAAGGGGGGGGGGGGGGGGG